ATAATGTCTTTGTTTAATGAATATTTCATTCATACAAAAGAATTGTTTCCACATGGATGATTTAGACAAGATCTTGTCTCATTACATGGTGCATTGTTTCAATTATGTCACCAAGATAAGGGCTCAAGTCTTATACACATATTTGGTAGGTTCAGCTTTCATCTCTTAAATTAATTATATTCATCTTCTTGCATGTACATTTTGAATGATAAAATATGACGAATTATTAAATGCAATGTCATCAATTTAAAATTATATTTAGGACCAATCCTAAATTTACACTTGTCCGAAATGAATTTTAAAATTGGCAAATTAAATTATGTCACATGTCTGTGTATGTCTGTGTTACGGTCATCGATGGCATCGGCTAATTAGATCAACCCATAAGTATATTGGGCTCAATCATATTAGCCCATGGCCCATATATGGCCCACTAAAACTCTATAAAGAGAAGAGTTCACCTCTCATTTGAGAATAATTGGAGATTTAGAGTTCTAAGATCATTCAGTATCATCTATAATCATTCACAGTCAAGCAAAGCATTCAAAGCCAACAAAACTTGAAGAATTGAAGACTTGAAGACTATGAGAATTCAAGAATACCGAATCTTCTCTTCACCAAGAAATCGTTCGAAGAACTTCAATAAGCTAAAGAACTTCACAAGCTACCAAATCGAAGACTTCATCAAGTTGCAGGCTAAAGACTTCATCAAGCTCCGAATTTCGTCAAGCAAGCCGAAAACTCCATCAAGCTACAAACTTTATCATCAAGCTTCACAGCCTAAGACCTCAAAGATTCTTGAATATGCTAGAAGCCGAAGATGGCAACCTCTTTGATACTTGAACAAGTTCATCATTTCTCGAGTTAAAGTTTACATTTGTAAGAAAGCATCAGAGGATCATAAGTTAGAAATTTTAACACTATAAACATTCAATACAAATACAAGTTCATTAATTTGGGTTTCTCTTCTTCAAATTTCTCATTGAACAAATTGGCACACCACAATTTTTTAATTGTTTGAAAAATACAAGTTCATTAATTTAAAAGGTTTATATTAATGGATTTCCCAAACTTTCTTCTACAAGTTGAAAGAAATGAAAACTAGGTGTGCAAATATAATGGTTTAAATCTCTTATTTGATTTTTTTTATTCACACAAATTAAAACAATTTCAAAAAGAAAAAATTCATTTGAATTCCTTTGAATTTGGGGTAGGAAATATCAATAAGATATGACATAAATACAAATCGATCATTGTAGTTGAGGCTCTGGTAAGGATTGTCGAGGCCATCCAAAATAATTACTGATTTTACTGAATGTAAGTTGTAAAAGTAATGAGATCAGGTCGAATCTCAAGAGAACTAATGAAATTAATTTCACAAAGTTAAAAGATGGTGGTTTTGTATTTAACTTTTTAAATTTAAAAAGATAAACTAAAAGGAAAATGAAAGTCAATCTTACCAAACTTTCAATCCAAATATGTGTTTTTCATCCAATTGTAATCTTGATCATAGGCTTTACACAAAATTAGTTTTTTGATTCAAGAACTTAGTCTACCTACTCGGAACACTCGTGGTAAGTTTTAATTCTCCTAATTTAATTAATTTAAACCAAGGATCAAAGTTAAATCTTATTCATTAATCAACTGGGTACGATAGCGTTCCATATTAATCAAAGAATAGCATTAAGGATAATGAGAATGACTAAATCAAATTAATTAATTTGAGATAGCTGCAAGTTAATTAATTTTGTCCCTTTGTTTCCGTAGAGTTTCAAGCTATGTAAACATGGAAAAGCCATAAATACACACACATAAGCCAACCCTTTACCACTTATTTCAATCATTCATGACAATTACAGATCACAAACTCATGGATAGCAGTAGAACAATTAATATGAATTATGGCGTCAATTTAATTAATATAAACTGTTCATCAATAATAAAAACAAGAAACAAATAATACTTGAAAAAGAAGAAATCTCTATCCTAACTTGAGCCTCCCAAGCTTACAATCAGACTTGAATCACCATTGAGTTGGAAGAATTAAAGCCTAGTCACTCGTGGTAGAGGGAGAAAACTTGAATTTTCGAGAAGAGAGCTTTACGGTGGAACTTGGATGATGGATCTCCCAATAAGACTCCTCTATTTATAGAGATTAATTTTATGGAGGAATTATATCTAATAAGGAATTTCTAACTAATTGGAGGATCATTTATAAAAGAAAACAAATTAATAAAAGAGTTTCAAATCAATTTAGGATTATGTTTCCTACTTTGATTATATCTCTTTATTTACAAAATATCTTCAAAATTCATAATTCTCAAATTGAAGCATCTCGCCATAATAATTGTGTCTTATTTATCCGTTGAGCTCTCCCCAATTTGATGAAGTCCGCATTTTCCTCTAAAATTACGTTTTAAAATTATTATTCCTGGATATGTTCAATATGCCAAAAATTATAAATTATAATTAAATTCAAATATTTAAACATAATAAATTAATAAAATGTAAAATAAATATATAAAATATGGTTATCTTTTTCATCTTATCAAATTCCTCCACACCTAATTCATGCTCGTCCTCGAGCATATCTTAATTCGACATACCTATACTTCTTGTTATATTTCTCAATATCCAAAATACCGGTAAAGTTAATCACACATCAATGAGATGAATCATAATGACAATCAAGTGAATAAGCATTCATAAGTTATAATTTATAAAAACCCAAGTCTCTCATTAACTCATTAAAATTAAAATCCAAAAGACTTGATGCCCTCACGGAGTTTCACTCAATTCCCTCAAAGTGTTTTTAGGGTGCTTTACTCTCAAAGACAAAAACTTAGTATGTTATTACCATAGGCTTGCAAATGAATTAAATTTCCCCACTTAAAGATGAACTGAATGCAAAAAAAGTCAAACAGACTCTAATATTGGTTGTAATGGGGCTTAGGTAAGGTGTGGTAAAAAGAATTTTAGGAGTTTACAATCAAGACAATATAGTTATTTATTTACATGATATTTAGACAAATGTACTACTTGTAGCTTGTATTTCTCTTCTCACGCCTTCTTCGGGCACCAAGAACCTTGGAGAAATTGAATGCTTCTTGGAAGATATTTCTTCAAATGTCCTCTCTTTCATTAAGGGAACGAGGTGACTTATTTTCATGATGTGACTTTTTTTTCTCTCTCTCTCTTTCTTTTTTGCAGTACATACTTTGGATAATGACTTGAACAATAAGAATGTAATATAATGCAATGTTTTTTTTTTAGTTGTTGTCTTGACGAAGGTAGAAATATTGAAGATAATAAATGAAAAAGGCCCAAGGTTTAAGTATGGTGTGCAGAGGAAGAAAAAAAATGAAAAATTAAGCTCAAATGTGGCTTTCTAATAGAAAATGTAAAAAGGTTGGCCTTTTAGAAGTCTGAAATTTGGGTAAGCCTAAATTGTCCTTGTCATATTAAAGCATCACTTCAAACATGTGGTCACAAAATGTATTCATAAGCAAGATTTAGAATAATCATGCTAAGTTTGATCACACTCATCAAGAAAAATAAATAGAGCAAGATGTAATATGTTGCTCAAAGGCTCAAAAAGCTCACTTAGCTGTGTAAATTGCATCAATTCCAGTGCATTTTTCAATCAAAAAAATCAATGAGATACTGTCATATAATTTTTAAAGAAAAACACTAATCATGCTCATCAACTTTCATGCATAAAAAATTCAAACCAAAGATGCATTCTTAACATACAAAGCATTCAAGGATATTGATCAAAATATCAAGGTTTCAAAAGGAGAAAACAATGTATACGAATCAAGACATACTAAGTCTAAAGCATGAAAAAGATGCAAAAGTTTTTGAAAGATGACGAACATCTGCCCACACCTAAACTATACGGTGTCCTCAACATATAACTATGCAAATTGCTTATAAAAGGGAAAAGAGAAACTTCTTGATTTGCAACTACTTGGACTGAATAGTTTAGGATGTTGGTGGTGAAAAAAAATGTAAGCATACTCTAAAGTTGGACTTCTTCTTTTAATACCTAAACAAGAACCAAATAAACCAAGTGAAATAAAATAGAAAAACAAAACTATAAATAAAAATAAAATAAAATTTAAAATAAAGAAAACATTTGGTTGCCTCCCAATAGCGCAACTATTTAATGTCAGTTTGCTTAACAGTGTGCAAAAATAATTTTTCAATCATCCAAAGTCAAATTGCTCTATTAAAGGTGACATTTTATCAATTGAGGCATAAATTCCTACATTTAATGGTTCTGGCATCCCTTCCACACCAATGTCATCATCAATTTTGTTTAAACTAGACTTTTCATCTAGCTCTTGCTCGTGATCGATGTTTTCATTGTATTTATATCCTGCACAACTAGATCAATCATGTTATTTTGATAGCTAGAGAGAATGTTTATCATTCATAATATCAAAAATATTAAGTTCTACAGTCTCTCCATTAGAGTCTACAAGGAGAACGTTTTCATCTTCATTGATCTTCGTATTGGTTGTTTCTATGGATGGCTGTTCTGGACCTTCGTATTTCTTTGGTAGCTTTATTTGCAAGATAGCTGATAAATTATCACTTACCTCTATTTTCTCTTTTGCCCCGTTTTCTTCTTTTGAATTAGTCAACTTACTAGGAAAGGGAGGTAATAGAGTGTAGGATGAAAAAGATATAGGAGGATTGAATTTTATTCCACATTCTTTAGGAGAAATTTCCTCATGAAAGAGCGATGCCTACATTAAATCAATTGGGGCTTTTTGCGAAAGGCTATCAACGTATACGTATATAGATATAGTGAGTGTGTGTGCAGAGTGTAGGGCGAGAAAGAGAGCCTTCGCTTACCTACTTAACCGTGCGGAGGTATTTGGCCCCCAAAAGGGAATGGGGTTTTAGGTCCTCGGGATTCTCTTATATATGGCTATTCTTTTTACTCATTTTCTTCATTAAGCTCATTCTCCTTAGTAATTGTTTCCGAAGGAATATCCTCTTCATTTCTCAGCGTAAGCATGTTAACATTCTCCACTTGATTCTCCCTTCCAGAATCTTCCAATTTACTAATTGGTGTAGCCAATTGAGTATTTTGGTTCTCCAAACTATGCCATTATGGTTTTGTTTCTTTTTGAAATAGAAGAGCATTTGTTTCCATTATTTGCATAAAGGCCCTTCTTTCTTGTTGAATTTGGAGATTATTGTTAGCAATACTGTTAACAAGATCTTCTAAAGACGTAACTGAGGCTTGTATAGGAGGTGGAGGTGGTCTAATGAAATTTTGATTTCCATAGGTCAAATTTGGGTGATCTCTCCATCCATAATTGTAGTGATTATAATAGGGCTCATAGTGAGGTATACTAGGAAATCTGCCTACAACATTGGGTTCTTGAATGAAATCTTGTTGAGATTGATGATATGTACCCGTAGGATATCCTCGAAGTGAGTAAATACCATGCCCCGTTTCTTTTTGAGATTCCCTACTGTTGGGTGTGTTGCCCTAAACTCTTAGTTTGTATTTTGTGTAAAAACAAATCTATATTCAATAAAGTTTTATTCAATAAATTTTTTGTTGAATTCATAGCATTTCATTGTCCAAAATCCAATAAACTAAACATCCGAGGTTATTTTAGTGTAACCGGAACAGTATATGTACTAGGTATATATTTGATATACTGGGTATATATTTGATATACCCCTGATATACGAGGTATATATTTGATATACCCTGATATACAAGTAGATAATGTCCCGTGAATAACCTAAAAGGTCTATAGTATATGGATAAGGCTGGGTACCTTATCCTGGCAACACTATGGATACGGCCCACTCTGTAAAGGTTACAGATGACTCGATCCAGGTCGTTCGTGTGGAGACATGCGAGTGGGGGTATCCTATACAATTAGTTTGTCTAAGACCGGACCGCGAAATAGCCAATCTTTAGATGTAACACCGTTAACTAATAGATTGCTGTTTCTTAGGATGACCAGACAACTCATTCTCAATCCTGAGTGAGTTATGGACTCCTGCCCGTGAGGGCTTGTCTTTTGATCTGTATGGGTGAGAGTGGCTCGAGATGCCGACTCAATATTCCAACTATTATGGGGACGAGACCGAGTGAGGAGCTGGGAACATAACTTCACAAGATGGAATTCACTCCTCTCCAACTTTAGGGGAGTAGATGAGTGTTCCCTTAAATGCTGACTCCGGGACTTGAACAAGGGGTCCCACCTTCTCATTGGCCCGAGAGGGACTTTCGGTTATTGGTCGGACCATAACCGGGTTGTTCATTAGAGGAGCAGTGGTATTTAAGGAGTAAGATGTAACTCAGGGGTAAAACGGTAATTTGACCCAACTTGAGTTACGAGCACTCGTGAAGGATTGACTCGTCATTAATGGTCGTATATCCATGGACAAGAAAACATTCTGCAGTGAGAAGAGTGCAACTGCGGGTCTTTAGTGGAGTAACCCGTAATTAACGAATGTTGATTAACTCGGTCAATGAGTTTGACCGATTAATCTCGTATCGTTGGAGCTTCGGATCTGTAGGTCCATTAGGTCCCATTGCTAACTCATAACGGGTAAAACGAGGATCAAGTTTTTGGAAGAATTTGAACTATTCAAATTACTTAAGGAATTATATGTATATTGATACATTATAATATATAGTTAATTATAAATTAAAACTATATATTATGAGAGAAATTATTTGAATGAGATTCACATAAAACTAATATGAATAAGATTCATATTAAAACTATAGGTTAAAAATAATGTGCATAAGATGTACATTAGAACTATAGGTTATACGAGAAAAATATTATAGAATATGATTCTATTCATGTGATAAATAATTATTTATTTGATATATATATATATATATATTAATTATTAATTAGATTAATAATTAATTAACTTTTATTAATTAATATGATTTATTAATTATATATTAATTATTATATATATATTAATTATTATATATATATTAATTATTATATATATATATTAATTATTAATATTAATTATTATATATATATTAATTATTAATATTAATATTAATATTAATATTTAACTCCCCTGTATTATTGCAGGGGAGTGGGGGAGTTATGTGACGTCACTCGTTTTCTGCAAAATCCAAGAAAGTTACGGAAAAGAAACACAGAACAGAACTCCCACTCTGTCTCGTTCAAGCTCTCAATCAAACTTTCCCTCTCGTTCCAAAGAAACGCTCCCACAAGCGTGTTCTCGAAACCCAAGAGGATAGCAAGGAAGGTTGTTTGGTGGTGTTCGTTGGGAAATCGTTGAAGAAACGTTCTTCAAAGGTAATGGTTTTCCCCTATTTTTCCTTCTTGTGCATTGTGATTTTGTTTCCCAAATTTCACGAACAACAGTCCGCTTCCGCTCCGAGATTCACATCCTTTCACCTACAACCAATTGACGAACCAAAACAGTTAAATCAGAAATTTGACTTTTAACTTCACTTACCTCATTTACTTGCCTAATTGCTCCACTTGCTCTTGTCCATAATTGTCCATAATTCACCATCGTGTTTCAAAAAATAAAAATAAAAATAGACGAAAAAATAAATATAAAAATAAAAATAAATAGTTAAATAAAACAATAAGAAACTAATAATTGATTCCTCGACAACGACACCAATTTTGGTAAGGGTTGTCGAGGCCCTCCAAAATAATTACTGATTTTACTAAATTTAACTGGTAGAAGTAGTGAGATCAGGTTGAATAACAAGGGAACCAACGAAATTAATTTTAGAAAATGGGGGTTTTGTATTTAACTTTTGAAATTTAAAAAGATAACCTAAAAGGAAAACGAAAGTAAATCTTACCAAACTTCCAATCCAAATGTGTCTTTTTCATCCAATTGTAATCTTGATCATAGGCTTTATACAAAATTAGTTTCTTGATTCAAGAACTTAGTCTACTTACTCGAAACAGTCGTGGTAAGTTTTAATTCTCCTAATTTAATTAATTTAGACCAAATATCAAAATTAAATCTTATTAATTAATCAATTGGGTACGATACAATTCCATATTAATCAAAGAATAACATTAAGATAATGAGAATGAGTAAACAATAATTAATTAATTTGAGATAACTACAAGTTATTTATTTTGTCCCTTTGTTTCCCTAGAGTCTATTATGTCAGCTATGTAAACATGGAAAAGCCATAAATACACACACATAAGCCAAACTCTTGCTACTTATTTCAATCATTCATGACTATTACGGATCACGAACTCATGGATAGTAGTAGAACAATTAATATGAATTAAGGCGTCAATTTAATTAATATAAAATGTTCATCAATAATAAAAACAAAAAACAAAGAATACTTGAAAAAGAAGAAATCTCTATCTTAAYTGGGCCTCCCAAGCTTACAATCAAACTTGAATTAGAGTTAAAGCCTAGCCACTCATGGTAGAGGGAGAGAACTTGAATTTTGGAGAAGAGAGCTTTACGTTGGAACTTGGATGATGGATCTCCAATAAGACTTCTCTATTTATAGAGATTAATTTTATCGAGGAATTCCAAACTAATTGGGAGGATCATTTATAAAAGAAAACAAATTAATAAAAGAGTTTCAAATCAATTTAGGATTATGTTTCCTACTTTTATTATATCTCTTTATTTACAAAATATCTTAAAAATTCATAATTCTCAAATTGAAGCGTCCCGCCATAATAATTGTGTCTGTATTTATCCGTTGAGTTCTCCCCAAGTTGGTGAAGTCTGCATTATCGTCTAAAATTGTGTTTTTAAATTATTATTCTTGAATATCTTCAATTTGCCACAAAATGATAAATTATAATGAAATTCAAATATTTAAACATAATAAATTAATAAAATGTAAAATAAATATATAAAATATGAGCATCTTTCTCATCTTATCAGGCTCAAATCTCTCCACATGTTGATATAGTTCACAACAACGTTGTCTTTTCATGTTGTAAAAGCAATTTAGGAACCCTCTTTCCAATTTCTCCTAATGAATTCAAGTTCTAGATGTGTGTACCAATCAAAAGTAGTGTCCTTCAGTGTCTGAACGAATTGTTTGACCAATAGAATCTCTTCGAGTGCCAGCATTTTCTCATGTTTTGACGAAATAAAGAATGTGCTGCATAAGATTACCCTTTCTATCAAATTGTTGGGACTTTGGAGGCTCGTATCTCGTCGGTATTCTCAAGTTTTCAATCCTTTTCGTGTATGGCTTGGAGTACATGAGGGAGTTTTGAGAAGTCCACCATACTAAGCTCTGATCGAACTTGTGATCATAACTTGGAGTTGTTGAACAGACGACAAAGCAATGAAAATAAAGTGTTCTTCTTGTTCTTCTTGCATGACGTTGTTTCT